TGCATCATCCTCAACTATAAATATAGAACTCATTCACATCATTTAGCAAGCTTTTGATAGTCCAAACAATACTTCTCATATCCCATTTGAAACCTGACCTTGTAAGCTTCATTTTCATATCCACACCCTTCACTAGCCAGAGTTCTTGTTCATCAAGCTTCCTTGAACTCTAGTAAAGCTAACAAGATCAAAAGCAAGCGAAATAGTGCATCATAGAGAGCTATTCAAGTCAGTTTTCAAAAGGTTTTGAGCATATTTCGAACATGTAGTTGGAGGCACCATTTGTCACAACTCAAATTACTGTGATGATCCTTGATGTTCACTGATGTTCACTGGTGCTCACTGCATCCTTAATTTTCATTGTTTGATCCATTAGCTATGTCTGTTTTTGAATTTTGCTTTTGAAACTCTTTCTGATTTTTCTCAAATCGACTACACCAGTTTAAATAAATTTTTTACGATGATATGGTTGAGATCGTCTCATTGAGACGCTTCTAACGATACCAATTTCACGAGCAATGGTTTCCATTTGAGGAAACACGAATTTACCCTAAGTTCGAGTTGCTGGAAGTTGAAGATGACTAACATGTCTTCCTTAACCAATGATAGCGTGACATTTGTTTTATTTTGATTGGTTTTCATATTTTGGACATGGTGTGATACATTTTAGTCATGATCACCGTAAACTTTAACCTCTTGGCCTTTGAATCTGCCACGCTGGTTAAGTGAACTGGATTCAACGCCTCTCATATTTTTGATTTTTTTTTTTATTTTACAAATTTTGTTTTAAATTCCATTTTATCTTTAAAATTTTATATCTCTTTTATTCTTTATCCAAAAAATATGAAAAATTACACAAAAATATTTTAAATCATTTCTAATTTTATGGATATTTTTTAGATTTTTATTTTGATGTTTACTATTTTTCATAATTTTTAATTTGTTTACTTAATTTTAATTGGTTTAAAATTCTTTCTCATACGTTTTAAAATTCTGGAAAAAATATTATATGATCCTATGATGGTTTCTAACCTATGGTGATTTTAATTTTTAGTTTTACTATTTTTCACCTTTTTTAGATCTATTTGTTTAATTTTTAATAATTTTAAAATAGTTTCTGATTTCTACAAAATTATGAAAAATTTTCTTAAAATATTATAGGTCATTTATGATTTTTCTATTGTCTCACTTCATTTTCATTTGATGATTTGATTAGGCTTTGATATTTTACCTTTTATTTTTATTTAAAAACCAATTTTAAAATTCATTTTCATGCATTTATTAATTGTTTAATTGCATTTTAAATTTTGTTTGACTTTGTTGATTGAATGGCCTTGGATCTTAGCATTTTTGATCATAGGTTTTATCAACCTCATTGGATCTTGAGTGTTGATGGGGTAAAAACCCTAATCCACCGAGATGGATGAATGATATTGATTATAACTTGATCAATATTTTGATCCAATTTGGGATTTACTTTCTTGTTCAAGTTATCTCTGCTTCATCTATTTCTTCTTCTTTTTATTTTTGGATCAATTGGATGATTGATGATTCATCTTGTTCAATTGAATGTGGATTGGTACTTGATGAACTTCATCATTTTAAATCTATCTCTAAGTGATCAATTGATCACACAAGGTACTTTGGGTTGATGATAGATTTGTCCTAAGGTGTCATGAATGATTTGATTGATATAATGATCTCATCTCCTTGACTTAGATCTTGATCACATTTGTTTTAAACCATGGTGTGCATTATATGCAATACACCTACACTATTTTTGCCCGATCTTTGATAGGTGCAACTTCTATATAAGTTCACTTACAATTGCTAAACATAGCGCCAAATTGTCCCGAATTGGAAAACTAACTACTAGCATTAACTATTAATTGTGCTAACATTTAATTTTCCACACCTTTACTTTATTGACATCTGATGTGACATTAGTGGTGTCCTGATATTTTGGTCTTTTTTTCCTTCTATTTTTGTTTGGGGCTTTACCCAAGATATTTTGAGCTCTTTATGTGTTGTTGGTCTATATTGTTTAACTTCTTTTGAATTGTGTTGCACTCTATGTTATTTTTTGATGAATGCAAGAATGTTCCCTTTGACAAAATTATGGCTAAAAAGGGGGAGATACCATAGTAATAGTGTGATAGCTTAACTTAGCTTGATTGATAGCTCTGGTAGTTTTGGTAGTTTTGTCTATTGTTGTTATGATGATTTTCATCTTAAGGGGGAGTATAAGCTTTATGTGTTTATGTATGATCTTCTGTTTAGGGGGGAGAAAATATGTGTAAGAGGAGCTCTTTATTTTATTTTGTGTGATTGCCATTTATTTTGCTAGTTGTATGGTTGATGATTGGTTCTGGTGCAATCCTATGATGTCTTGACATCATGACTAACATCCTGATTGTGAGATGAGCTACTATTTAGGGGGAGCATGATGTTCATGTTGCTTGAATGCTTGTTGTCATTCCAGATGTCTTGAAATTCTGTCTGAAGAATATGTTTTTGTTTTGTCGTCTGAAGTTTTTTTGAGAGTTTATTTCTCTTTGTTAGTTGTGTTTTGTGTGGCTGAGCATTAACTATTAATTGTGCTAACATTTAATTTTCCACACCTTTACTTTATTGACATCTGATGTGACATTAGTGGTGTCCTGATATTTTGGTCTTTTTTTCCTTCTATTTTTGTTTGGGGCTTTACCCAAGATATTTTGAGCTCTTTATGTGTTGTTGGTCTATATTGTTTAACTTCTTTTGAATTGTGTTGCACTCTATGTTATTTTTTGATGAATGCAAGAATGTTCCCTTTGACAAAATTATGGCTAAAAAGGGGGAGATACCATAGTAATAGTGTGATAGCTTAACTTAGCTTGATTGATAGCTCTGGTAGTTTTGGTAGTTTTGTCTATTGTTGTTATGATGATTTTCATCTTAAGGGGGAGTATAAGCTTTATGTGTTTATGTATGATCTTCTGTTTAGGGGGGAGAAAATATGTGTAAGAGGAGCTCTTTATTTTATTTTGTGTGATTGCCATTTATTTTGCTAGTTGTATGGTTGATGATTGGTTCTGGTGCAATCCTATGATGTCTTGACATCATGACTAACATCCTGATTGTGAGATGAGCTACTATTTAGGGGGAGCATGATGTTCATGTTGCTTGAATGCTTGTTGTCATTCCAGATGTCTTGAAATTCTGTCTGAAGAATATGTTTTTGTTTTGTCGTCTGAAGTTTTTTTGAGAGTTTATTTCTCTTTGTTAGTTGTGTTTTGTGTGGCTGAGATTTATCCTTTTCTGGTGTGTATGCCTCTGATATGAACATGTTCAGTTCCCGTTTCTCTTGTGTTTTTTGTTAAAGATGTTTTTTTGAGGTATTTGTTTGAATTTTATCCATCTTGCTCTGAAGGTTTGTGGTATTGGTTGGTTTTGAAAGATGTTTTATGTAAAGGTTGTTTTAGCAAAAAGTTATCAAAGGGGGAAATTGTTAGGTTTTGTTCTGTTGACTGCATTTTGTTAAAACAAGTAATTCAGCAAGATGTTGGGCAAGATGTCTTGACATGTTGGTACGATATCGTAGCTTGAGATTTGTTTTACTTTTATGAAGTTTGGTTTTTAGCGCAATATCACTAAATATTTGATGCAAATATGATTTGCGAAATGTGTGGTTAATTAAGCATGTATTTTTCAAGGAATCAAATATCTAATCAGATTTGATTTGTTTCTCAAGATTGGATGTTGTAACATTTAAGGAAACATTATATCTTGCACCAGAAGATTTTGCAGAAGATTTGATTTGCATATTGTTTTAGCCAATTTTAATCTTCAAGCCCAAGTTGTTTTTCTGACTATAAAAAGAAAGACTCTAAACCTAAAGAAAGGAGAAGACACAAGTGTGAGAATATTCATTAAGGTTTAATTCGTTCTTTGTTATTTGTGAACCACTCTTGTATCACTTTGATGCTTGAGTTCGAATGAGTTATGAGTTGTAATTGTGAATCACTCATAAGCTTTTAAGCAAGAGTGAATTATGTTTCGTTAGAAGTGTGCCTTCTTTTTATTGTTAGTGTTGTCATCCTGCTGTGTGATTGAAGGGAAATGAGAAGGATCTCATATCTAAGAGTTCTTAGATAGAAATTACATGGGTAGTGATTATGTGCGAATTTTGTAAAACTAGAGGTTGTTTAGAACTTCAAACTAATTCTGCTATAATGGATTTTCTTCTTGGCTTAGATGTCCCAGATATAGTTGATGTTGCACCGAACTGAATTAACAATTGACCTGTGTTTTTTTAAAAGTACTTTAAATTGTTATTGTTCTGTCTGTTGTTACAATATCTTAACATTGTGCTCGATATTACATTTTGACATCATGTCGTCGATTTGTATCATTTTCGGTTACAAAAATAGATATGTTTTTCCATTTTATAAGTACTTGCATAAAAATAATAAAAATTAAAATTAAAAGAAATTATATTTAGAATTGTACATTTCTTTCAATTTTATAATATCAAAATGTATAATCCGATTTGCCTCATAAACAGTTATAAAAGTTTTTTTTTTTAAATTGATATTTGATTTTAAAATTGACTCATTCGAAATAAATTACCGAACATATTAGTGGAGTTTTGAAATCAGTCATCCAATTTAACAAATTTTTATTTTAACTACAATAAGCATAAAATGAAAAAAAAATACATAAATTAGTAAATATTTACAATTAAAAAACTTTAATAAACATAATATATAGTGAAAAAATAAAAAATAAAAAGATACATCAAGTCACGAATATAATGATTTTGTTTAGACCAGCAAGTAACTCGAGTTGTCAAGTGAAAACTCTTGAAACTATCACACTTTTGTATTTTATGCTTTCTATCTTTAGAAATACATTGTCCCAGATTTTCTGTCTTCTTTCACTGTCCTTCATTTCCATTTTCACTGGGAGCTGTTAAAGTGTTTCAGCTTTCAACCATTTTCGTTTCAATTCTGTTTCAAATGGGAGGAGTGTGCAGAGCTTGGGAAGAAGACATTTACTGGACACATTTTCAATTCATCCATTTCACCCAATTTCTCCGCTCTGATTTTCATCAACAACTTGTTAGTATTCTTTTCATTCTTTTCTTTCGTTGCATGTCCATATTGTTTTTGTGACACTTTGTTTTGGCTTACATTGCTATACATGAAGCATGCATTTACATTTTAGGTTCTGATCATGCATGCATCCTGGTAGAGTCATGCTTATGATTTGAGTTGGCTTTGAAAGAAAAGATAAAGAATTGAATTAGTACGGAGATTCATTGATTGTTACATGGTTGATCTTGGGTTGTTATTGTAACTATTTAAATAGTATACTTGAGATTATTAATTGTTGTTTTTCAATGAGATTGTTATGATCTCTGTAGCACAACACTTTTGGTTGAAGGTGAGTTTGGTGTCTGACATGCTTGGGTAGGTCTCTTTCCACACCGACATGACACCAACACATTTGATTACTGATATTTTCTAAAGTTATTACTGGTGTGAACAAGTCGATGTTACTGTGATGTTAGTACTGTGTCCAGTGTTTGTGTTGGCCTTCATAGACTGTAGTCTACCAACAGATATCTCTATGCGGCTCAAGCTCATGTTTTGTTTTCAGGCACTTCCCAAAACATTTTCTAACAATATAAAGAAGAACTTGCCAGAAAGTGTGAGCCTAAAAGGTCCTGCTGGAATGCTTTGGAATATAGAGCTGACAACTAAAGGCGATACCATGTACTTCACGCACGGTTGGCAACAATTCATGAAAGAACACTCTTTGAAAGAAAATGATTTCCTTGTCTTTAAGTACAACGGTGAATCGTTGTTTGAGGTTTTAATCTTTGATGGCGGGAGTTTATGTGAGAAGGCAGCTTCTTATTTTGTTCGAAAATGTTGGCAAGCTGCCAATACTGAACAAGGGGGTGGATGTTCGGGCAAGAAAAGGGACTCAGATAACTCTGTTGAAGAAGTTAACACTCCTAATGGTGTTGATGAAGGTGTTTCACCTGAGAAATCTTTGCACCTTAATAGTATCAGAGTGCCAATTGATGTGCCTGTCGAAACAACTAATGGCAAGACTTCTAATGCTGGTGTTGAATCTGCTTCTGCCGAGCCATTCATGCCTGATGCAGTCCCTGATACTGAGCCAAAAACTGTTCCCTCCCAAACAACTGCTAAACGGACGAGGAGGAGACCTGTTTGTGCCGATACGTCTGTCCCGACAAAGAAGAGAGGAAGACGACCAAAAACCGATAATTCTGTTGAAGACATTAACACTCCTAATGGTGTTGATGAAGGTGTTTCACCTGAGAAATCTTTGCATGTTAAGAGTATCAGAGTGCCAATTGATGTGCCTGTCGAAACAACTAATGGCAAGACTTCTAATGCTGGTGTTGAATCTTCTCCCGCCGAGCAATTCATGTCTGATGCAGTCACAGATACCGAGCCAAAAACTGTTCCCTCCAAAACAACGGTTAAACGGACGAGGAGGAAGCCTGTTTATGCCAATATGTCTGTCCCAATTAAGAAGAGAGGAAGACCAGCAAAAACCCCTAATTCTCACAAGAGAGCTCATGATTGTGTGTCTGGTAATATTTTTACTTTTATCAATTAGAGAAAGAAACAAGGAACGCTTGTGGTTAAAGTGGTGCACTGATCAAATAGTTTTAACCACTATCAGCATATCTGTGCACAACTGAAAACCACAATCAGCAAGAAACATATCTTACTACTGTTTTATGGATATTTTCTTATCTGCAAAAACACTTGAATGAGTGAAATTACTTGCTGAAAATTTTGATTTTGAAAAACTGCAACATTTTTGCTCAATAATAGTTGGACAGTATAATTTACCATGTACTTGTTTGAGTCCAACTTGTGACACTTCACTAGTGTTTTTGTGAAATCAATTAAAGAAATAAATGAAAAGCACTTTTCTTCTTTGTTGAACTGACATTTCTGATTGATAGTCTATCTAATGTCTGATATGTGATAGTATTGGACACCAACATGACTGAAAACACGTCATTACATTCAATTCATTCATTTTTCTCAAACTAGTGTCAATGTACCACTTTCGTGTTTGGTGTCTGTTGACGTGGTAACCGATTTTGATCATTTTTTTAAGGTGCTGAACTTTCTCCCAAGGTTTCTCCTAAGGCCTCTCCAAAGGTTGGATTTTGGACCAAGGAACTATATACTTCAAATAGGAGGCCTGTCACAAAAAATGAGATTGAAAATACACTTCAGTTGGCCCAGGCAAAATGTGCCAAAGACACCTTGCTTGTAACTATGCGACCTACGCATGTATACAAGAGATTCTTCATGGTAAACTACTTTCCTTTTTAAACTTGGTTGTGAATTTTGGTAACTTCCTGCATATTATACAAAGCATAGGTTGATACTAATTTTATCTACTTTTCATTTTTTGTGACTAGTCATTCCCTAATAAGTGGAGAATAAACCATCTTTCTCCGTCATCTCAAGATGTGATATTACGTATGGGTAAGAGTGAATGGCTTGGGAAATACTGCTATCATAATATTCGCAACAATGGAGGACTCACTGGTGGGTGGAAATATTTTGCACTTGAAAATAACCTTGAAGAGTTTGATGTGTGTTTGTTTAAGCCTGCTGGTTATATGGACAAAACTTTGATCTTAGACATTACCATTTTTAGAGTTGTTGAGGAGATTACTCCTCTTACTGCGATGAATTCTCCGCAAAAGAAGAGTTCAATTAAGAAAACACCAACCGGACTGAATTCTCGGGAAAAGAAGAGTTCATTTAAGAAAACACCTACGAGTGCTGTCCAAACAGAACTCGAGTCCTTTGAACCACTAGTAAAGAAGAGAGGAGTTAACATAACAGTGACCAGTGCTGTACAAACAGAACTTGACTCCATTGAAGGTGCGTAAGTGTATCGTGCGAAGAAAGTTTCATAGTATATGTTAAAAGTTGTGTAAGCGTTTGTAATCTCAAATGTGTTTGTATTTTGGATGTCATGTTGAATTGTTTAACTTGTTCAATCTTCTGCTTCTACCTACGTAATTCACATATGTAAACTTTTGATTATCTACCTTCATGGATTGATCTATTGTTCAAGGTATTGCTAGTGTATTATTGTCTCTTTAAATAAGCAATTGTTCATCATCTTGGTTCATCATATATATATATATATATATATATATATATATATATATATATATATATATATATATATATATATATATATATTAAAATTCTAAAATTGATTTAGGAATAAAAATCAATGTTTCAAATCTAAATCACAAAAATCAAAATGAGATTCCTAAATTAAAAGGCCAAATTAAAGCAGCAATTAGTTTATGTGAAGCTGTGAGATATCTAAATCAAAACAGGTTCACAAATCAATTGAAGTGTAGTTGTTTGTTGTTGTGTTAGATTGAAGGTTCATCTCCATGCAAAGAGCCACAAATATGATTTAGACTCCTTCCACAAAAGCGCCAAACCTCCGCCTCTTTCTCTACCACACTACCTTTGCAATTACTCCTCGAGTTCCTCATACTCTTCATCGCACAGATCACAACTCGCTTCACAATCTTTCAATTGATGCCACAGTCTCCCACAAATGAAACAAAAAGTAGGAAGCCTTTCATATTTGAAGAAAACCTTGTGGGCTTTCTCCTTGAATCGAACAACCGTCCCCCTTTTCAAAGGATTCTTCAGATTCATCTTGACTTTAATCCTCAAAAATTTACCATTTCGATGTACATCCTTTTTATCCATTTCTTCAAAGTTTCCCAAGATATAACCAAGCCTTTTAGCAATCGTCCCAGACCTTAAAGTTAACGGAAGGTCATAGATCATAACTCAGAAGCTTCCAAAGTGCATGTCTAATCCCGATGGTTGTTCATCACCAGACACCCTTTCCAGAATCAGGAGATTTCAGTCGAGGCTCCAAGGGAATTTGCGAAGCACCGATTCTAGATCTCGCTTTGTCGAAAATTTGAAGAGGATGGGCACCCGGAGGAGAATTTGAAGAAGGATACTTAGGAAATGTTAGAGAGACTGAAAAGCGATTGTGGGTAGAAATGGATGAATATGGGAGATTTTAATGATATCTTGGAAGCGGGAGATAAGAAAGGAGGTATAAGGAGATCCTACATCCAATTAAACTGAGGAAGACAAGCTGTTGCTGAGTGTGAACTTATTGATTTGGACTTTGAGGGGTATAAATTTACTTGGACAAATGGGAGGCAAATGAGGTTAATATTCAATATCGTTTGGATAGAGTTTTTGCTTCCTCTGAGTTTGTTAGGAGATTCCCTACTATTAAGTTTAAACATTTGACCAGGTTTGGGAGTGACCATGAAATTATTAGGGTGGACTTGGAACCTTCTTTAAACACCACCAGAAAGACGAAGGTTTGGCTGTTTAGATTTGAAGATGCTTGGATTAGAGATTCTAGATGCGAGGAGATAATGAAGAATCTTTGGCAGAACTGTTCGGCGAGGGGTATAAGGAAAATCGATTGCTTTAGTGATATTGGGAAAGTAATGAGAGACTTACAACCCGCTCCGATAAGTATTGATCTAAAGAGAATTGAGAAGTTGTTGAATGAGGATGACATATGGGGACCAAAGCAGGGTTGAAAAATCAGTACAACATTTTTTACTGTTTTGGCCATAACTTTTGAGTCGTAACTCCGATTCGCGCCCGGTTAGAAGCGTTGGAAAGATTATTCAATGATCTTTATAACAATTACAAAATATAAAACAAATTTATGATTTCTTATTCTTTAATTTTGAGCCTTATTCATTGACGAGTTGCTCAAAATTGCACGTTTGAAGCCGTGTCTTCGACACTTTATTGCTCATGCTCCAAATACGCATCAATACCTATAAAATGAATGAAAAACTATGAAACGATACAATTTATACATGAAAATGCATTATACACAAACTGAACGTATTTATACACAAATTTAGGTTATTTAACTGATATTAACAACCAAGAGTCGATAAGTGCAACAAAAAGTATATACAAAATAACTACACTTTTGCGCTTATCAGTTTGCTCAAAAGGGAGGTTTTGTTGGAAAAATCCATGGAGTTAAAATTGAAAGGAGTGCCCCAACTTCGTCTCACTTATTTTTTGCAGATGATTGCCTTCTCTTCGCTAGGTCCAATTTACCTGAAGTTGACAGTATTTTGAGAATCCTTAATTTGTATCAGAAAGCTTCAGGGCAAGTGGTAAACTTTGATAAACTGGAGGTGACTTATAGTCGAAATGTTTCTGAAGAGGTGAAAGATATGATCCAGACACTGGCGGGTTAAAGACAATGGCGTCTCATTCAAGATATCTTGGGTTACCAGTTTTTTTTGGAAGATCAAAGAAGGAAGTCTTATATCTGGTTACGGAGAGAGTCTGGAAGAAATTAAAAGGGTGGAAATAGAGGTTTTTATCGAAGGCGGGTAGGGAAGTTCTTGTTAGAACAATGTTTGAATCTAGTACCCTATATTTAAGTTTTGATGATAACAAAGTGAAAAGATATAGTAGTTAAATATTTTATGATTGAATTATATGCTGCCTAAAATTACTATGCTCTGACTTGCAGATATGCTGATTAAAATAAGCAAGATCACGTTTTCAGCATCAGAATATGATTTCATACACCAGCATCAGAAGTTGCTGAATCAGAACGTCAAGATCAGATGATCAACGCTTGCACATGCTGAAGCTTGATGAACAGAACTGCGCGTAAAACACTCTGATACAGAATCAAATTAGTTCATCAGCAGCGAAGCAGAATCAGAATGAGCCAAGCCAGAACGTGCATTGAAGAAGCAACGGTACTGTGCATTGAAAGCTAATCAATACCAACGGCATCATTCTAGACAAGATCTGCTCAAAAAGGAAAGCTTGTTATTAGCATTGAATCAAGAATATTTGCTTCAACGTTCATCTTCTCAAGTGCTATATAAACCAAGCTTTGAAGATTATCACGGCTAATGCTTCCAAACTCTCTACACGCACAAAGCTGAACAATAATCTTCACTCTACAAGTTTTGCTAAACCAACAAACTCTGATACTTTATTAGCATTTAGCAACCTAGTATTCTAAGCTTCATTTGTGTAAACATCACAGTTGTGATATAGTTTTGTAGAAACATTCACACACATTTGCTTATACCTTTGTAAGAAAGTGTTGCCTTGACAAACCGGATTGTGGTTTGAATCAAGAAGGTTTTAGAAGTTGCTAAAGCAGATTTGTATTCAGTTGAATATAGTGAATTAAGACCTCGTTGGAGAGAGGCGAAATCACCTTGACGGGTGGACTGGAGTAGTTTGAGATCAAACGAACCAGGATAAAAATACCTTGTCATTTGCTTTAAGATTCCAGTTTTACAATTCAACCCCCCCTTCTTGTGTTTTTCACCCCTTCAATTGGCATCAGAGCGCCTGGTTCTGAGCTAAAACACTTAACCGTGTCAGTACAAGATCCAGCGTCAGAAAAACACAATGGCAGGAAACAACTCTCATTTCAGCAATGACACCAATGAGGACAGAGACAGATTCAGCGGCAAACCTCCAGTCTTTGATGGAGAAAACTTTGACTACTGGAAAGACAGAATTGAAAGCTTCTTTCTAGCACATGATGCTGATCTGTGGGATATGGTGACAAATGGATACACGCACCCTGTTAATGCAACTGGTCAGAAGATTGATAGAAAATCAATGACTGATCAACAAAAGCGTGATTTCAAGAATCACCATAAGGCCAGAACCATCCTCCTCAGTGCTATCTCCTATACTGAGTATGAGAAGATCTCTAACAGAGACACAGCTAAGAACATCTTTGATTCTCTCAGAATGACGCATGAGGGCAACATTCAAGTCAAAGAAACAAAAGCTCTGGCGCTCATTCAGAAGTATGAGGCGTTTAAAATGGAAGAATCTGAATCCATTGAAACTATGTTCTCCAGATTCCAGATTCTGGTAGCTGGTCTCAAAGTTCTGGACAAGGGATACTCTACTGCTGACCATGTCAAGAAGATAATCAGAAGTTTACCCAAGCAGTGGAGGCCTATGGTTACTGCTCTGAAGCTGGCGAAAGATCTCAACAAAATCACTCTGGAGGAACTTATAAGCTCCCTCAGAAGTCATGAGATAGAGCTGGAAGCTGACGAGCCTCAGAATCAAGGTAAGCCTATAGCTTTAAAATCTAACAGAAAATCTGAATCTAAAGTTTTGCAGGCAGTTGAAGAAACATCTGATGGATCCTCATCAGAAGAAGACGAGCTTTCTCTTCTCTCCAGAAGAGTAAATCAACTATGGAAGCAAAGACAAAGGAAGTTCAGGAATCCCAGAAGATCTGATCAGAACGAGTCTTCTTCCAGATACAGAAAGACAGATTCTTCCTCTGGATACAGAAGATCTGAAGGCTCCTCAGGTAGCAAGAAGCCAAATACAAAAGACATCATCTGCTACGAGTGCAATGAGCAAGGACACTACAAGAGTGACTGTCCAAAGCTTCAGAGGGAAAAGCCCAAAAAGAAGTTTGGAAGAGAGAAGAAGAAAAGTCTCATGGCCACATGGGATGACTCTGACTCGTCTGAAGCTGACTCAGAATCAGATGATGAAAGGGCGAACATAGCGCTTATGGCTAACATTCCAGATGACAGTGAAGCTTCTGACTCAGACTCAGAATCAGACACAGAAGAGGTATTCCCTAACTTCGCTGTTAATTTTACAAAGGCTGAACTTGCTGAAAGCCTCAATGAAATTCTGGAACGTTATCAGCAGATTAGAGCTAAATTCAGAGACCTGAAAAGGACTCTTGAATCTGACTCTAATAAGTCTGAGAGTCTCAAATTGGAAAACTCTGAGCTGAGAGATAAAATTTTAAAATTAGAAAACTCTTTACAAAACTCTCAGAAGAAACCAATTGCTGAAACTCCCAGCAACGCTGATGAGATCATCAAGGAGTATGATCATAGTTTCCAGAAGTTCCTTGCTAAAAGCATAGATAGAAGCAGAATGGCTTCAATGATCTATGGAGTTAGCAGAAACGGCAGGAAAGGAATTGGATACCTAGGTAAGGTTCATACACCTAAAAATGTCATGGATTTAACCATTAAACACACTCCTCTAAATTCACACTTTGTGTATGGTCACACACATGACATCAAATATACTAGTAGTAATCACTTTGTGAAACCAAAATTCAATCAGAGTTTTGGTAAAACTAACAAATCAGGACCCAAGAAGATCTGGGTACCTAAGGATAAAATAATACATGTTGCAGATATCTTTAGCAGCAAGTCAGAAACACCAGTCATGGTACCTGGACTCTGGCTGCTCACGTCACATGACGGGAAGAAGGCATATGTTCCAAAGCCTGGAACTTAAGCCTGGAGGCCACGTTGGCTTTGGAGGCAATCAGAGGGGAAAGATAATTGGCTCTGGAACTGTAGGTAACGGAAATCTTCCCTCTATTAATAATGTTCTGCTTGTTGATGGATTGATGCATAACCTGTTATCCATAAGTCAATTAAGTGATAACGGTTATGATATAATCTTTAATCAAAAATCATGTAAAGCTGTTAGTCAGAAAGATGGGACTATCCTATTTAATGGTAAGAGGAAAAACAACATTTACAAAATCAAACTTTCTGAACTAAAGAGTCAGAACGTAAAATGTCTTCTGTCTGTTAACAACGAGCAGTGGATCTGGCACAGAAGATTGGGGCATGTTAGTATGAGAAGAATATCTCAGATTAACAAACTCAATCTGGTCAGAGGACTTCCAAATTTGAAGTTCAATTCAGATGCTCTGTGTGAAGCATGTCAGAAAGGCAAATTTGCAAAACCTTCTTTTAAATCCAAAAATGTTGTTTCTACCTCTAAACCATTAGAACTTCTGCACATTGACTTATTTGGACCAGTTAAAACTGCTTCTGTCAGTGGCAAGAAGTATGGGTTAGTAATCGTAGATGACTATAGCAGATGGACATGGGTAAAGTTCTTAAGACACAAGGACGAGTCACACTCTGTGTTTGTTACCTTCTGTAACCAAGTTCAGAATGAAAAAGATCTTAGAATCGTTAAAGTCAGAAGTGATCATGGTGGAGAATTTGAAAATAAAGATTTTGAGTCATTCTTTAATGACAAAGGCATTCTGCATGATTTCTCTTGTCCTAGAACTCCCCAACAAAATGGAGTTGTAGAACGAAAGAACAGAACATTGCAAGAAATGGCCAGAACCATGATCAACGAGACAAACGTTGCTAAGACTTTCTGGGCAGAGGCAATAAACACAGCGTGCTACATTCAGAATAGAATCTCAATAAGACCTATTCTGGAAAAGACTCCATATGAATTGTGGAAGAACAGAAAGCCCAACATTTCGTATTTTCATCCATTTGGATGTACTTGCTATATGTTAAACACTAAGAATTATTTGAACAAGTTTGATTCTAAGGCACAGAAGTGTATTATGTTAGGATACTCTGAACGCTCAAGAGGGTACAGAGTATACAATACAGAAACACAGATTGTGGAAGAATCAATCAGTGTTCGTTTTGATGACAAGCTTGACTCTGAAAAGTCAAAGCAGAATGAAAATCTTGCAGGTATAGAAATTGAATTTGCAGGTTCTGAAGACAAGTCATCAGAAGCTCTTAA